TCTGCTTAACAGTAATTAATTTCTGCTTTATAAGAAGTTCGAGAGGTTATATGAAATGGATTGGAGGGTTTTATTGGAGAACCATTTGAGCCTATATTTTTTACCTATATAAAAATAGATGAAAAGAAAAGCTAATTTATATAGTAGTAATTCTCTTTTATGTCTTGCATATTATTGCCGTATAATTTTTTAGCTATGGCATTCATATTATTAGGGCCATAAATTGACAACAGACAATGAGACTGGAGTCTTCTTCTACTACCCAGCGCAAGGTTTCTCAAGTCCATTGATCAATTTTCAATGATACAATTGTTTGAAAGATTTCAAATGATCAATTAATGCTAGAATCTTTTCTTTGAATATAGTAATCTGCATATAAATTCGCTTTGATCGGATGAATCGAGTCAAAATGCACACCGAAACAGGGTCTTATGAAACAACTTAACCGAACATGGGCAAAATAGTCATTTACTCCCAGTAAACTGTTCTGGATAAGTTGCCTCAAACAGCAAGTCAGCTTATTATGATAATCTGCAGATTATCAGATTATCATAATAATCTGCTTATCAGTAGGTTATAAATAATTAATAGCCGCCCACAAACAGACCCTTAAAATTTTGGCTCATTGGCTCGCATTTGCTAAACTTCATTTTAATAGCCTTAAAACTTGACAAAATAGTTCTTAACTTTGAATTAAATTTGATTTTTGCTCACAAAACTCTTCAAAAATTCCTAAGTCAAATCAAACATTATTTCAATTATTTGCAAAAGTTGAGTTTTATTATTAAAATACTCACTTAAATAGCAATTCTCGTATAATCAGAATTAGAGTTTAAATTAAATTTATTAGATCAAGATTGCTTTTTCAAGTAAAACTAATATATTACTTCACATAAGAATGTCAAGTATATCACAAGTAATATTAAAATTACTAAGGATTATAAAGCATTTCAAAACTGTGGATTCCTTGAAAATGACAGGTCTAGCCTGATAATGCTAGCTAGGACCATTGCTAGTTTATTTTATGGAAACCAATTTCAATTGTAACCCGAAAGACCTAGACAAACCCACTAATGAATCACAAACTATCATTTACTTCAAGAGCTGTTGATAACTCCCCAAAGACTTTCGTAACATCTTTTAAAACGTTTCCTGATGTTGCATAAATATCTTTTAAAACTTTTGCAACAACTATATCCCTTCCTAAACTATTTTATTGGATTTATTGAAGGAGGAATTACAAAAATAAAAACCAAATCTTACCTATTTATAAAACTAGCATACATATCTTTTTTTTAATTACCAAAGTCATGTCCTTATTAGTGTCACAATCAGATTAAAAAAAAATAGATGTGCAAGTTTTGTTGTGAATTTTGATATTTGGGTGAGAATTTGCAAAATCAAGGAAGATGTTATATAGGTGGTATGCTTGTCATTGCCCTTCTTTTATAATCAGTGTTTCAAATCAATTTTTTTATCTCAACACACCGACAAAAAAATTGAAAGGCTCCTCTTTCTTCCTATGATCTCTTGGAAAATTATTTCAAGATTGCCTAGATCTAATCTCTTGCAATACTTAAAATTTTGTTTACATTTTTTAAACATTCAACAAAAAAAAATTTGAATACGAAAAAATTCAAATTTTCTCATTGTAAATTTGTTTACATTTTGCACTTAAAATCTAGAAAGATTTTGAGAATTGATCTCAAACTTCTACATTCAGATTTTGCACAATAAAAAGTGAGTAGACTAAATTATGTTGGGTTTCTGCACCAACACAGAGTGAAGAAGCTTTTAGGCTTACTATGGTAAGCCCAAGGTTAGTGAAAATACTAATCTGAGTGTTTATCTAATGTGTACATGGGCAAGAGGCAGGCCAAACCACATAAAAATCATTGTATGCTATATTCAATACATGTATAACATTTTTACTGCCTATATTGTTTTTAAAGTTTTGAATTTGACAAATTGTGATTTAAATTTTTGCATACACCATTCAGAAACTTCATGGTTTGCCATGACCATCACATCTAATTTTAATTAAAATAAAGCATGAGGTGGATGCACCATACTGAAGCTATATGAAAATTACTAGAGATGTAAAGTGGAATAGTGATGATCAAATCATAACTAAAAATAAGAGAAAATAGAAATTACAGTAAACAAAACCAACCAAATGACAAACAATTTAAAAAAGAAAAAAAAAACAGAAACTACATTATAAAATTAACTTGTATATCTGACAGTAAATTGAAGCACTTTTATGTTTGACATTTTGCTACTAACATGTGCGCTTCAACTTGATATTCAGAACACATCTTCGTACATGATTTATGCGTAAAAAAAGATTAGCAAGATTCCTCACCAGAACTGCATCAGTTTTTTCCTTTGCAAGAAGCCGCTGCCTCTTACCACTAGGGCCTGGTAGTATTAAAAATGACCATAATAAAACAAGAGTATATTTATGTTCCCTAAGTTGATTTAAGGATTAGCAGAATTTAAAAAAAAAAAACCTTCAAGAAAAGCGTTCAACAAAACTTACTTTTTGTCCCAAGGGTGTCATCCACAGCCCGCTTAGATTTCTGAAAAACATTAAAACAATAATTAAATTCAACATATAAAGTATTAAGCAAACGAGAAAGAAGAACTAGTAGATCCATAAAATGTAATATAATCAAGAGACCATATATAGGAGCATACAAAATTTCGATAGAAGAAATTACAGCTCGAATAGGAAAATGCAAAATAATTCAACTATAAAAACAAGCTGGAGAGTATATAACTACTCTACAAGCATACACACGGTGGAAACATTACAGAAATCTTCACAAAGAGAGATATAATCAAAAGTAAGGCTGAACAAACAGCAGAAATTCTGAAAAAGAAATGACAAGATATTGTACAGGTCAAGCAGGGCAAAAATTTGAAGTGGCAAGTGATACAATCCTGACCTGCAGAAAAACTAGCTGTCTAACAGAATACAAATTATGGCCAATAACCTTCATAGCCAACAAAGCGTTACAAAAAATACAAACTACAAGAAAGAGCTTTATTTTCTACCGACTCCCCTCTTTAGAATTAAAGCATTTTTTGTTTAAAAAAATTTAGTTAACCTATCCAAAGTAGCGAACCAAAAATGTGAGTTGATTGATTAAAATCTTCAATTGACAAATTATTTCAGAATCCAGACTTCTGCGGTCAGTATGTGACACGTTAAGTAAACCTTGATAGAGAAGAAATTTCATCTCATTCAATGTAAAGCTCAATTTTGTAACATTATATGCATTCATTATAAGTGAGAATTAATTAGATATTATGATATCTGCCCTTTAATAATAAAATATTAAACTAAAATAAAAAGTTTATAATATTACTTTTGAATAGCAAATAGTAATTATTATTATGATTATTATTAATTTAAATACTATTGAGTTACGAACAGAATTAAGATAAAAAATCTAAAAAATAATAATATGAAATTAAAGTTTATAAGTACTTATTTAAGTTAGAGTGGACATTGATTAGATATTAAATAAATTTTAATACAAATCGTAGATATTGATTAAAGTTGCAGTATTGATAGTCAAATTAAAATGACATGAATACTTCAAATAAAAGATTCTAACCAACAATTAAAATAAATAATTAATTGAAATCTTAATTAAACATAACCAAATAATATGTTTAAATTTATTTTTTTATGACATTAGACAACTAACTATAAGAGACAGATTAAGGGTGTTTGAATGTTTAAGGCAAGAGAGCTAAACGAGGTGAAAACTTTTAATCTATGGTTTTAATCTATGGTGGTATTTTGTTTCTTCTGATTTATATATTCCTCTATTTATCGGTCATGTCATTATGAATGTTGTATGCCTTCTTATAGTAATGACTATTACGAATTATTTAATAATATATAGATTATACTGTATGGAATGAAATGAACATAGGAATGATATGGACAATAGTATGTTTGTATATGCATGTTGAGTATGATGCAGTTCACTTCTTTATGGTACTAACGGGAAACGCTAAGAAATCCTTTGCTTGATAGATCTTAATTAATACAATTTTTAGATAGTGTTCTTATGACAGTTACATATGTATGTATGTATGTATGTATGTATATATATATAGATATATATATATAGATATATATAAACGCTTCTTACTATATCACTTATCTATATTCTTTATGTGATATATCTATATTCTTTATATATATATAAAGAATATAGATAAGTGATATAGTAAGAAGCGTTGAATGATTTGAACCATCATGAACGATCACATTTGAAAGTCTAACGTTTTTTTACTGATTTATAGTATTTCTGACTTTTGTTTAAAGATGAGTAATAAAGATGGGTGTTTATAGAAGATATTGACAGCCTAAATACAAAAAAATTAAATGTATTACTTTAATTCTTTTCTGCAGTGGATCTTTTATTTATTTTTGGTGGATTAAATATTGATATTAAAAATAAAAATTGAAAATTTTCAAACCTCGGGCAGAATCATGGCATTCAAAGACTTATAAATGAACGTACAAATTGTTGGTTATTTCAGAACATTATTAAAAACTAAAATAAGAATTTAAATGTAGACTTTCATTCTAAGAACCATAAATGATCCCATTTCTTAGAAGGGGCTTTATGCCACCTAATTTAAAAAACTGTTAACCTCATCTTCATAATTTCTTCATTTAAATTTTCTATCAATCATGAAGAGCAGCACTTGGCTCTGTATAGGTCCCTCAAAAAGATGCAACATCAAAAACTCTTTCAACGGTTAGGCATGATGATTGCCTTAAAAAGAACTGGCATTAAAACCAACTAGCATAGTATTAAGGAGGATCCAACCATGGTAAACACAAAATAAGTGACAAAGGTAGTGGTAAACACAAAATAAGCGATAAAGATAGTGGGCTTTATCTAATAGCTTCTGCAAGAAAAAAGACTGTCTCAGGTTACATGAGGGTTACCATAAGATTGAAGGGCATCTGCTCAAGTGATGCAACATAAAATGAAAAACTATCGGCGGCCTAGTCGTCTAGTCTTGATTTGGAAGTCGCCTAACATGACTAAATGATCAACAATCATCGTCAAGTCCTAAAAAATAATAATAATAATAAAATAAATAAATAAATTTCAATCAACTAAAAATTTAAATTTATATAGAAATAGTTGCAAAATTATTTGAATCACAAATATGAATTACATAAACAAAAACACAAGCACATCTACAAAAACATAAAGTGCATGCCAATTCTCACTAATATGTTCTTAGTTTTCCCATGACAAATAAATAAATATAGGGAGGAATCATTAGAAAACAAGAGAAATATTTTCACATGACATTTGGCTTCTCTATAAAATCCCCTTGAAACAACAATAACCTATATGAGGTAAGCAATAACCGAAAAAGAAACGAGCATGAATATTTGTACAGATCTAATACTCTATTAGCTTTTAATTTTGTACAAATTCTAATACACTATTAGCTTTTAATAATCTAACCTTCTCAGCAGCTTTTTCAAATAGGGAAGACAAACTAGCTTGAACTAGCGTCCCTTTTTTATTAGAAGACTTTCTGGTGGACTTTTGCAAGGATTGCTTTGCTTCTTCAGATATATTTCCTTTTGCGGCAATTGCTCCATTCTCTGGAGAACAAACAGTTGATCCTACTACACCTGAATCATCTCTGTGCTATCAGTTAAAGAAATCATTTCCAAAATCATGGAAGTAGATAACAATGAACTAAGAATTAAAAATGCATGCAGCACTTGGTAAATAACCAGTTAAGCTATGCAAACAGCAATATAGACTAAAAATAAAATATGGATATTTCTGAAAGCTGGACCTTTGGCTTTGTATCAGCTTCAGCATTGATCTTCAACTCATCAGCTTTAGTTGTCTCAGTATCACTATCAGTAGAATCCTTCTCAGAAGAAGATTCTGCATAACTAACCCTGCCACAAATTTTGAACACGAGAAGATAAAAGAAAAGAAAATTGTTCGTTTTTTCTTGCAATTTGTTTTTTCTATGTAATCAAAACAAAAGACAAAGCATGCTTGAAGGCGTACAAATACAAACATGTCTTGATTATTCTATACCATAAAACATCAATCAATCATAAACATCGAACTTATAATATATAGCCGGTGCTTTGAATAAAGTAGCACAAGTCCACATATCTAGAAATACCAACCAAAAGTTTCTGTGTATAAAAAATGAAATCATAAAATGATAGCATAAAGATACTAGGCAAATATAGCATAAATAAAGGTAAATTATCAAAAGGATCCCTAGATTTTTTAGGCGTGCCAATGTTAAAATGGGCTCCAAATCTTTTCAGATATTGAACTTAGTCCCTTAACTCATCAAATTTAAATTAATTTAGTCATATCGTCTTGTTTTGCAATTACTTTAGACCACTGTTTAAAATTGTGTAATCTGGAGGACCGCTGAGACAAGGTAAATTTACGTGATTTTTATTGCATTAAATACCCTGTTAATTCTCTTATTTATCATGATAATACGCTTGAGAAAGGTATTTGTGTCTAATTTATGCAGATGACAGATCAGATGTGGTTTTGGAACGAAAGAGGATGAATTTAGGCACATAATGGCTAAATTTGATACAGGGCACTGATGTGCCTAAAAATATACTATTTTTTATGTTATATTTTATAATGATATTGCACGATAAAGGTATGTTTTCTAGTGTTTGTTGGTTGTAGGCACATCAAATTGAAATATTTGTAGTGATTGGAGCAAAATGAACAAAAATAGACCAAAACATAACAAACTGAAGCAAATTGAGTCGAACCGTGGCACACCGAAGCCATGGGGGCCGAAACCAGGGACTTAAGTGTCTGTGCCACCAGATAGAGAGGAGGGCGCTGCGCCCAAAATCGGTGCTTAAGCGTCAAAAACGGTTTTCAACATATCTTCTAGAATATACATCGAATTTGGACGCTTTTTGAAGCGGTGCTTTGTGTGTCTCTTAGGGAATTCGTTGGAAATGATAAAAGACTTTCTAGAAGAATTTTGGGCGGTTATAAGTAGGGCTGTCAAAAAAGCTCATTTTTCGCGAACAGTTCGTATTCGATTCGTTTGATAAGCAAACGAGACGAACACGAACATTTTTTTTTTCGATTTGTTAAACGAAACAAACACGAACAGTTATGTGTTCATTCGTGTTTGAATCGTTATTGTTCGAAATATAAAAAAAATTAATATAAATATATAAAAAAAATTATCATAATTTAAAAATAATTATATACTCAAAAATTTTAACATATTTTAAAAATTAAATCTTATGAATTATAATGTACAATAAATTAATAATAATAATATATTTATATACTATACTAGTAATATAGATATTATATATTTATATAATATAAGATATATAATTAATATAATATATTATTTATATATATTAATATATACAAACAATGGAACAAATAAAAAGACTTATTAGTTATTACCCTTACCCAGGCGGAAGCCCTAACCCTAACCTCTCGAGTCTCGACTGTGTTTTCCCTTTCCCACTCACGCCGCTCTTTCTCCTCTCTCGAAGCTTAGTTTCGGCTGCTTCTTCTCTCAAGTTCATGAAAAACTTCCTCTCGGTGATTGCGAGAACCCTCCTTCTATCAAACTCGCGAAAAGCTTCTCTCGATGAGAACTCTCCGTCTTTACACTTCTCTCAAGTTCATGAAAAACTTCCTCTCGGTGAGAGCTTAGGGTTAATTGTTTGTGTTTGTTCTCTAATCTCTACTTCTATTTTTCTTCGATAAAGTGTATTTTTCCTCGGCTGGTCGGCGTTGGATAGACCACTCTCGGTATTCTTGCTTCGGTGTTTGGTTGCTCGATATTCTTGCTTGGTTGCTTGTAAGACTACCGAGTCGTCTTCTTCGAGAATATTTTCTATAATATTTCGTATTTATCTTCAGGTTTGATTCTTAGCTTAAATTTTCAGAAATTTTTTTAGGTTTATTTAATTTTTTTGAGTGAAACCTAGGTTTTGAAGTTTTTGAGAGTGAAATCCAGATATGTTTATCTTCATATTGACTGTAGATCTACTTTTTTTTGTGAGCACCGAGCTTTATTTGGGATCTTGGGAGTGAAATCCAGAAACATGACTGATGTTAATTATTTTGGCAATGTGTTTTTCATTGGTATGTGATTGTGATTGAATGAAGGGCAAGAATGGACCATGTAAATTTGTTTGAAAGGTAGTTTGATACCTTTCGGTATCATGATAAACTTTGATTGTTATCAGCTGTTAGGGTAATCCATAACAAAGGCCATGTAAATTTTAGGGTGTTTTATGGTGTGTTTTTCTGTTTCTATAACTTGTGTTTCTCAGCATATGAAGAGACTTCCATGAAGGTTATTTTGTTGTATTACTATTAATATAAAACAAAGCATTACAAATGCTTTGTTTTTATAACAACGTTCCCACAAATCGCTTTTACTTCTAAATGATGGGGAAGTTAGTACAACGGATGAGCATGCATCATGGCACTGATTGAGTATATGCATTATTTTTTTCCTTTTTTTTTTATTGAGTGCATCCAATCTTAACTACAACTAGTTATTGTAGGATATGACATTGCTTATGAGCGATATCTTATCCATCTTATGAGCATAGAAGCGTTACTTTCCAACAATGCGGCACGGATTTGCATTGGTTATGGAAAAATTTAGAGAAGTCTTCTTATTCTTTCTTCTATTGAAGACTTCTTCATAAGATAATTTGTGTTAGCCACATTACGTTTCAATTGTTCACTTTAAAATTGTTCACTTTTACACTGAAGAAACTTGGAGTGGTTTCTATTGTGCAAATTTTAAATTAAGGCTTATCATTTTATTTCAGCAAAAAAAAGCTAAAGGCAATAGATGGATTTGAGGGTGCCTTTGAATATGAGTTATGTTTTGATTTTTTTGGAGTTTAAGAAGCAAAACAAAATGTTTAGAGCACTATTGTCCTATCTTTCTTTCACACTTTCAAATATCTTACAGTCCAATTTGCGTTTTTTAGAATAATGATAGTTATAATCATATGTGTTATGGACCTTATGATACTTCATTATTGATAATATGGAAACTTTTTTACATAGTCCGATGAACATGGTTGGCAGCCTCGCACACAAATTAATGAGAAATGTTTTTTTGTGGTTTATGTTATCATTCACACATCTAAATGTTTTTTTTCTCATTAAGGTTGATAAGAAGCTAGTCATGGATTGGTAATTAATTAGATTATGTGAGAAAGAAAATGGCTATAATGTTATTGTGGTTTATGTTACTTCTCTGTAATAGATTTTTATTACATGAACTTCTTCTGTTTGCTAAAGTTGACACGGTTTGTATTGAGTTTACACAATAATGGATCAAATTTACTATTTTCAATGTTGAAAGATAGATATATGGGGATGGAGTGATGCTTAGCTTCTCTTTATGGGTTGTTTTTTTCATAGAAAGCAATACTTTTTAGATGATGCAGGGATCTATCTGCTTATATTACAATTAGTGGAGTGTGCATCCTGCTGTTTTACCAATAAATTAAAGTAGGTTAATGTACTTTTTAGATGTTTATCTAGAATGAGAGGACATGTTCACTCGTAAGAAATGATGCATATATTAACATGAAAACTAATTTGTGACATTACAGAAATGGTTTAGCAGTTATATGATAAATTATTACTATATTTACATATGTGGAACCATACAATGGTTATATTGTCTACATATAGGCTGTTTTGAGTACTGCTTTGGAGACATTAAAAATATTTTTTAGGATTGTTTTGAGCACTGTTTTAGAGACACTAAAAGTATCATTTTAGGGATGTTTTGTGCACTGTTTTGCAGAAATTAAAAACATCATTTTAGGGCTGTTTGAGCAATATTTTGGAGACATTAGAAGCATCGTTTTAGTGCTATTTTGAGCCCTGTTTTAGAGACATTAAAAACATAATTTTGGGCTTGTTATACTTGCTCTTTGGAGCCTTCAAAGTGTTGTTTTGGCTCTTTATACTTATTGCTTGGAGCCTTTAAAGTGTTATTTTGGTTTTTTATACTGGTGATTTGGAGCCTTAAAAAAAGCTGAAATTGGGGGCGGTTAAATGCTGATGTTTGGAGCCCTTAAAGTGTTGTTTTAGCTCTTTATACTTGCTATTTGGAGCCTTTAATGTGATGTTTTGGCTCTTGTTTCAGCAAATTAAACTCTAACGAATGAGGAATTATGGAGTTCTAAAGTTGAGAGCTTTAGTTTCAGCAAATTAAGCTCCTTTGTCTTGTTAATTTCAGTCATGTTGGCGGAGGAGAATTCTGTTGTTTTTTTGGTTTTTGAGGACTTTTCCCCGATTTATATCATTTTTATTTGTCTGAAAAAAGAGAATTTTTTTGCATTATTTTTTCATGATTATTTGGAGATTTTCTATGGCAGCATTAGCAGAATCTTGTGAATCAATTTGTACAAAGCCATGTCCTTTGCTTTTTCCATCCTTTGCTATGGCCCTGTGCACAATTCAAAATTTTCCAGATTTAAAATATTCAATATAAGAAAGTTCAATGTGCATTCTCTACAAAATTTCAGGAAAGGGCTTATGCATATTGAAGTTTGGCAAGGAAGTATTAACTATGAAGGCTATTTCTTTATTTGAATGCTAACATTATTGATTAATATTTTTCTTTTTTTTTCTTCTCTCGCAGCAGCTTCTTTGCAGAGTTTTTTTGTCATGTCTTCTATTGTATTCGCAACAGCTTCTTCTAACTTTCTGCAGCAGCTTCTTCTATTTGTAAGCTCTCCTATTTTCTTTGAAAGCAGCTTCTTCTAAATATATTCGCAGCAGCTTCTTCTACTTGTCAGTATTTATAACTTTCTGCAGGTTAGAAGAGAGAAAATTGTTGTTGCCTTTCTAAATATATTCTGCAGCTTCTTCTAAAGATATTCGCAGC